CCATTTGGCCATGAAGCACCCCGGGTGACCTTTGGACATTTGCATACTCTCAGAGCATATCTACATTTACATACTTAACTTCTTGATCACCAGACTTGCAGAGCTTCTAGAGGAGAGTTGGGGAAGCTTCTCTGAAATTGTGGTCTCTTTAGGTGCCTGGTTGGGGGAGGGGACATTTTATAGCCCAATGAATCAACAAATCAAAAATCACAAAAAAAGTGATTCATTGATTCATATTTGTTTGGGGCAATGCTTCTCACAAATGCGAATTGAGAAATGAGTGATTTTTCATGAATTTTGCAATTCATTTTGTAATTTGTGCCCATCTCTAAAGGCTAGCGCACTCTCCTGAATTACAGCATAGAATGCTCGGTACCTCACCAAAGTGAGGTAATCCTTGAGTGAGGATTTCACAGGATAGAATCATGGCCCTTAGAGCAGTGCCAAACTAATATAATTGAGCAGGGCGGATAAGCCTTTTGTGTGACTTATCACAATATAGGATACCATGGGGCAGAGGGGAGCTATGCGTGCCACCTTGAGGTCGCTGGAGTAAAAGCGGGATATAAATCTAACAAATAAACAAACAAATAAGCAAACCCAGGTCAGATGCTTAGGCACATACCCACTCTATCTTACAGTTATTAGAACAGAGAAGCATGAGACCATCAGTAAAAGGAATGAAGGGCCTTGGGTAACATCTTAAAAGCTGATGTGTTTTAATATGGTCCTGTGTCCCACTTCATCAGATGAAAAGGATCTACAGCAGCTCATGAAATCTTAGACCAATAATTAATCTTGAAGGTGGCAAAGAGCTCTTTCTCTGTTGTTGCTTCCAGACTTTGGAACTCCCTCCCACAAGAGACAAAACTGGCCCCATCTTTGCTGTCCTTTAAAAAACATGTGAAGATGTTTCTCTTTGGGTAAGCTTTCCCTTAATGACTGGATGCCTGAGTGTGGTTTTTAAATGAATTATTGCACCTCCTTACACTTTGTATATATTGTTGGTGTTGCTTTTGTTTATTGCCTTTTAGCGTGGTATCTGCTTGATCCTTTTTAGTGTTTGCATTCTTACTGTTTTTCACTTTCATTTTTGTCTTTTAATGATGTACCGTAAGCTGCCCTGAGCCCTTCTTAAGTAGAAGGGTGGGGTAAAAATAATTTAAATAAATAAATAAAAAATGGACATAAGGTGTCAGGCAACCAACAGCATATGACTGCTCCTGATTTGAACAGAGTTTAGCAACCTAGGGCGACATTTGCTAGAATAAAATGTGGCCAACAGCATTATTCGAAAGCCCTGAAGAATCTTGTGGGAATCTTAAATCCAACAAGTTTTATTTAGAACAAATGTTCCTGGCCTGCAACCCAATCCATGGGACGCAAGTGGGCTGCGGTTTCCAGAAGGTGAAACAGGAGACTCTATTGTTTTTTGCTTTAATGGGCCTGAGCTGGAGAAGGACTCTCCCCCCCCCCTAAATTTCTTACTATTTTCCCCCTGCCCCACATTAGAGGAGGAGGAAATAAAGAAAGAGCAGGCTGGGGCGGTGATCCTGGAAAGCCTGGTGGGTGTTTGTACCTGCAAGCATTCTTTCGGCTGGTTGTGCGCTGCTGTGGTCAGCTCCTCCTCCTTCCCTCTTGAGAGGCTCCTGGCTTGCAGGTGCAGTCTGAGCCCTGGACAATGGGCTCATTGAGAAAGGAACTAGGCTGAAAGAGGCGGGGAGAAGGGGGGACTCACCTGAGCCTCAGGGCACCAAAGCACACTGTATCTCAAGGTTAAAGAAGCTCTTTCGAGTCCCTCCATGGCTATTTCAGAGAGAGGTGTTTTTTTGGGAGGGATGGGGTGGGGGCTGCAGTCCTGCACTGTGTAGGCCCAAAGGCAAAAGGCTGAGGCCAAGAACACCAGTTTATTTGAGCATATCCTTTTTTTTTAATGCCTGGTAACAGAGCCTCAGGGGAGGAATTTAAACCTTTCAGAAGGGGGAAACCACACAAAAACATCAGGACACCAACAAACAAAGGCGTCAAGCGGAAAGGGCATTGCCATCTGGCCAGCTCCTGAGTTGGGTGGCAGGAGAGCCGGATCCAACCCTGGGTCCATCCATGCTCCTTGTTATAATTGCCCCAGACTCTTCTTCCTCCATTACATTCCAGAGTGCCTCGTAGGTTGAGTGGGGAGCTCCCCCCTCAAAATCCCCGGTTCTCTTCTCCTCAAGTCACAAAATGCTTATGATTATATGTACGGACACCATGCTGGCATGGCTTCCCAATCCAGTCAGATTTTCCTTGGCCCTCCTTTCTGTTTTCTAGATGGGTTTTTGTTAATATTTGGCCTGATGAAGACATCTATGGAATTCAAAAGCTGGCACACATTTTGGTGGGCGTTTGATCCCTTCAATGAAGGTTTAGTCCTCAGAACAATTTTTGAACAGGGGAAGTAGGCACACTGCTGATGTATTTATTTTGTGTAGGAACTAAAAATCCCCAAACCATCAATGTGAAGGTAGTGCATATGACACAAATTTAGAATGTGAGAATGTTGAGTCCCTTCTATGTAAAATTTATGTTTAGTTACCCCAAGTTTTCTTTATTTCATCACTACCATTGAGGGCAACATCTTGATGCCTCCACTGTGGAGAGATATCCTTGCCCAACCTATTAGAGTCATAACTAGGGCGGGTGGCTGGGGCTTTAGCCCAGGTTGTCAAACTTTAGGTGGTGCAAAGTTTTGCCATTGAAAGGGGATAAACACACCCATTGGTATTTGCTGCTTTGTTGTTGTTTAGTTGTTTAGTCATATCCTACTCTTTGTGACCCGAAGCATGCCAGGCCCTCCTATCTTCCACAGCCTCCCAGAGTTGGGTCAAATTCATGTTGGTCGCTTCAATGACACTGTCCAACCATCTCATTCTCTGTCGCCCCCTTCTCCTCTTGCCTTCACACTTTCCCAACATCAGGGAGTCTTCCCTTCTCATGAGATGGCCAACGTATTGGAGCTTCAGCTTCAGGATCTGTCCTTCTAGTGAGCACTCAGGGTTGATTTCCTTCAAAAAGGATAGGTTTGTTCTCCATGCAGTCCAAGGGACTCTCAAGAGCCTCCTCCAACACCACAATTCAAAAGCATCAGTTCTTCGGTGGTCAGCACATTGGTGGGTGCACTGCAGAACAGGAACAGGTATTGCATGTTGAGATCCAGCAGTTCCTCCCTGTTCCACCATCCTCTTCACACCCAGCTTGCAAGGATCCAAGCTTAACCAATTGGGCAGTGAAGATCTGGGTGCCCCAAATGGGTCTGCAATTCATTTGAAATCATGTAAGAATGTACCAAAAGATCTAGGTTTCCTTTCTGTACATCTCCAGGCTCTCAGCTGCAGGGATCATCCAGAATTGTACTGGTAGATTCCAAGTGGTTTGAAGCAGAGGGCAAGAAAATCATGATACATTACGGAATTATATACTTTTTTAAAAAAAGTTGCATTGATCCACATTTTCTTTCATTTTATAGAAGCCATTCATGCACTCCATATACTGAAACTGTTTTTTTGTTTCCAGGTAGGTAGCCAGTGAAGGGTAAAGGATGGAGTAGGACTTAGAGGAGTCTTGAATCCCAGCTTGACCATGGAAACTCATTGAGATGTATTCTTGAAGGCGTTCATGGCCAGGATCTGATGGCTGTTGTAGGTTTGGTTTTTCAGGGTGTTTGGCCATGTTCTAGAGGTTTTTCTTCCTAATGTTTTGCTAGTCTCTGTGGCTGGCATCTTCAGAGGACAGGAGTTGAACTCTAACTCCTGTCCTCTGAAGATGCCGTCTACAGAGACTGGTGAAACGTTAGGAAGAAAAACCTCCAGAACACGGCCAAAGAGCCCGAAAATCCTACAACAACCATCAAACTCAGTGAGAGTTAGAGCTCTAACAGTAATACCACTCTTTCAGTATCTCAGTTACCTTAAAAGCCTATTCATCACCATCAATTCGGACTTATGGTGACCCTTTTCAGGGTTTCCCAGGTAGAGAATGCTCAGAAATGGTTTCTCATTCCCTTCTTCTGGGGCGCCCTGTGGCTGTGCAGCTTGCCCAAGGCTACACAGGCTAGCTCATTTCCAGGAGGCACAGTGAAGAATCAACTCCCAGGCATCTGGCTCTTCAGCCAGATGCCTAAACCATGGAGCTATGCAGCCAGCACAAAAATCCTATTGGGAGTCACTATAGGTCAGATGCGTCTTGACAGCCCATAGCACCCAACACATAAAACCCAGCCAGAAGGCCAAAGAAGCAGGTCCGCCTGAAGCACGGAAGAACCTGGCTCAATAATTCCAACCCCAGCTACTCCAGCCTCCTATTGAATTGCAAGAATCCTGTGATTTCCTGAGTCAGGCGATGCAATGGGATGCAAATGATGATGATCCTACAACTGCGGATAACAGCTGAAAGGGTCCCTATGGATTATAGAATCAAGGAGGGGGCAAGGTGGGGACTCGGAACTCCCATCCACTGAACTGTCCAGCAGTTAAAGTATCCCCCACCTTTCCGCCTGCCCACGCCATGGACTGCTCGCCCCAATCCAGAGTTTAGGACCACAGACCCCCCCACACTCCCCCGCCCAGCCTGGATCGTAGGAGTTGTAGTCCAAGGACCCAGTGAGGGCCTTTCCCACGCCCTGCCCCTGTCCTTCTCTCCCACCGGGGCCCTGCGCGTCTTTTGGGCAGAGTGCCTGTCCGTTGGGCTGCCTCCCTCCCTCCCTCCTCTCCTGGCAGGCTCTCCCCTCCTCCTCCCGCCCCGTCTCCAACTTCGTCCCAGGGGAGGCAGCCCTCCACGGCGGCGCTGGTGTTCCCGGCCAGGCACTTCGCCCAGCCCCGCCGCCGCGCTTCCCTGCCTTCCCCCGCGTCCCCTCCGCCCC